CCCTAACTACAACCTGACATTATTCACCACTTTAGACTTATGTTTTATTTTTTTCATTTTGTACACACAAGGGTAAACAACAAGAAATTTCGTTAAGTACAGCTCTCTAGACTATTTCATTTTATTATAGTGCAACCTTGATAAAGGTAAGCAGCAGTGATAAAAACATTGTGATGAAAAACTGTAACATAAACATTCGACTGTATAGTTAAGTTCTAACATTCAGTTTTTTTTTTATTCTGAGGATTTGCTGATCAAGTGGGTCTTAGTACAAAACATTAAGGTTTTATTCATAATGAATCACTTTTTTATTTAAGCCTGTAGTGAATAATGAAGTTGTGATCTACACACAGACAGAAATTCCTGAATTAAGTGTAAAATGTCATTAAGGTTTATGGCAAGACTCCCACACCATTGTGGACATCTATCACCACTTGTTTAATATGGCCTTTAGTGTCTACTTGCAGATTAAGATGGTGATAGGATTATTTGTGTATTTTAATCTGTCTGCCTTTATATGTTCAGAGCATCTAAATACATGAGAACATTTGAGTTTGTCTTGGTGTGGGCGCCTCTTATCTCCATAAAGAATGGGACAAAGCCAAAGATTTTGTGACCCAACAGATTGGCTTTTTTATTTTCTGTGTTTTGACTCAGCCCAAAGCCACTGTTACTCTCTGCTTTGATGAGTCATACAGATTGATAAATGGATCTGGCAAAAGAAAATAAACACATATATGACAGCCTTCAGGAGGTAAAGAGGATCCAGACATCATTTCTAACCCATCTATTTTCTGCAGTTGCGTCCTTGATGTTTTGATGGATTGTTTGTGTCTTATCTGTAAAAAAAACAAAAAAAAAACACACATAGAAGTGTTCAACCTACTCTACTGGTGATGCATCATTCAGTAAAGTCACAATTTGCATGTTAGGCATGTTTCTGTCCTGTAGTGTAAATGATGTGGGTGCGGATCCCAAAGATGCATTTCCAGCCAGGTAGGAGAAAAATTGGTCAGCTGAATGTTGCTATGTGTGGCCCTTGGTTTCCATTTTTTTAACTGCTAAAATAGCCTACCTCATTTTTTTCTTTTATTTTTGTGTAGGTACATTTTGTCACTAGAGTGGAGTCACCTGATTTCAGGAAAATTTATATCATATTGTTTGCCAAAAGAGGAGACAGGCACCCTAACAGATGGGAAGAAGTACACCAGTCTGGCATAGAAGTATACGGTTAGAGATGTAACTGATAGTTTTCTTGCCGTTACTGGTGAGCTCCATACTCTGACCATCGCATATGTTTGTGTTGTTTTAGTTAATGTTATTGTAGTTGTTCACATTTATTTTGATTGATTTGTAATTATTGTATATAAACAAACCATTTAAAATGTTCTCGGGTGCTACAGTTAGCATGTTGGCACCTCAAGCAAGCAACAGCTAAAGCTTATCTGCTGGACAAAAAGTTATTTGTTATTTAAGCGATGTTTCTTCTTATTAATGTTGGTGGTTCAGTTTAAAGCTGTACTGATTATCAACAATGAACTTTTAGATTTAGTTTCTACAATTGAACATTGTTGCCAGGGTAACCATGATAACAGATGGGAAGAAGTACGCCAGTTAAGCCTAACAGTAGACAAATATGTAACTGATACAGTTTACTTGTCATTATAATGTTACCTGCAGAATTAAGCCCCTGTGAACCGGAACCATCATCATTATTGTTTTAGTTTTGTCTTGGACTTTGTAACATGCAACAATGGGGAACTTTAAAATGGATTTTGTTGTACCATTATACAAAGTTATGTGATTCTAACACACTGAGAAGTTTAGGGCTCTCATCAGCGTGTTTACTAGCAGAAGGCTTTTTTTCTTGAATAGTGGGGACTGAAGAAGTGTCGTAACTTTTCAGTGGATTTCCCACAGCCGTAATTAAGATGTCTTTACATTTGAGAACAGAGAATAAGAATCTGTGTGACTTCCCCCCCTAAAGACAGTAGAGTTGCTCAGGCATGTTGGTATGACCCAGCCTTAATTATTCACTATTGTACATTGGTGAAGTATGATGAAGGACAGAATATTCATTAGATCTTGATCTGATGTGGCGGCTATTAAACACTTGACTTTTGATAAAGTTTACAAATGAAAAATGGTTATTAGATTGGTCCTCTTCAGATGACTTGGCACACAGATTATATTGACGCTTGACACATTAATTTCAGACTGATCATCTGGATTGAGGCTGATGCAGCCTTTTGAACTCCAACCAGTGCTGGTTCTCCCGCTTTTGCTACAGCAATTTTAACTGATCTCCTTTGATTGGTTCATCCTTTCCTTCGAGGAGCTTAGTTACCTACTATCTCTATAAAAACAAACATAAAACAATGCAGTTTTTGTAAGTTTTTTGTTTGTGTTTTGTATGTTTATGCCTTTTGGGAGTGATCAGCAGGCATAGACATTGTATGCACCGTATTAAGACAGCCTGTGTTACCCAATTGGAAACTTGGCAAAACAATGGCGACTAGGGTGCGCTTTACATGCTGTATACACTTTTCCATTGCTATAGCTAAAAGCCTAAAAATTGCATCGGTATCACTAGTATCAGCTTTGTTAAGGCCATGTTCTGATACATGCATAAACTTGGCAGCAGAATTGGCATGCTGCAGCTGTAGGTCCCACATGTGAACTCCAATGAGGGCTGACTAACCATTATTTTGCAAATCGATTAAGCTGTCAATTATTTTTTCAATTGAGAATAGGATAGCCAAAGATTAATCTTTAAAAAATATTTCTTACAAAATTAAACTAGGAGAAACTAGAACATTTCCACTGAAGGAGTTCTGGATAGAGCATATTGACAGGAAAAAAAGTTTATTTATTAATTTTTTCCCCCAATTTTTATATAATTACTGCTCTAAGTGGGTTGCTCTGTCAGCTAAAGTCATGTTTTAGACTCTCTGTACTCAGTTTAACGGTTAATCTATTACTAAATTAGTCGACTATTATTTCAATCCATTTATCGATTTTATAAATCCAATTGATTGTTTCAGCCCAATGTACTAAACGCTACTCCTATGTTTGTTTTTTTTGTTTTTTACCCCATGTATACACTGTATCATAGACATGATGATACATATGCATGGCTATTGTTTTTACTCATTGTGTGCATGCAGAATATCATGCATTCAGTCATGCTATCTTGTTTTGGCTGCATGATCTGGTAGAGTTGTCTCTGTAAAGTGCCTGGAGATGACATGTGAACTGGCGCTATATCAGTCATCTGAACTGGATTGAATTGTTTGGGTGAATATACAAAAATGGGATTTGTTCATTATCAGCAGAAACAAAGTGTATAAAAAACAAAAATAAGATATAGGGCTAACAGGGTGTGATGTTTTAATGAAGAAATTTGTATGCAACTTGAGGGAGCCACTTCCATAGACATGTAGTCACAGTATGTCTAGGCCGCTTTAATGAAAGCCAGGTGTCCACCTGGGCTATTTATTGTTGCGAAGCTCAGTCTTATTCCTCGTCTGCCAAGCTGAATACAACAAACTCAAGACAGTTATTTCTGTGATGTTAAAAAAGGAATATCTGTTCCTGGTGGGCCTCAATAACAACAGAGCATGTAGATGAGGAAGTGGTAGGCTAGCGGTTATAAGATTAGAGCAGGGCGCTGGCATCCTGCAGAGGTTAAATATCCCAGGTTTGAATCCCACAGACTGCCACTCTGGGGTTCCTAAACACGCCCTTAACCTCACAATGCTTCCCAGCCTCCCTGAACAGATGGCTTAAAAGTAAATCTATTTTTGTTTATTATTTTGTAAGTGTTATTATTAATGTTAGAGAAACTTACTGACCCTAAGAAGTGCTGTTTTGATGTAGTTTCATACAGCTTTGACAGTGTGACTGAGAGACGGTGGGTGGGAGGGTGTTTTTCTCATTCCACTCTGCACCTATATCGTCTTTCTTTTACTGTCTCTTTGCTCATTAAGCTTCACTCCTTTTTCTTTTGATCTCTTCTCCATGTTGGAGACAATGTTTATATCTCCACTTCATATGCAGTCGATCAGATTGACCCAGAGGTGTTATTATGATTCACCTACTGCACCAGCTTTTTATTGGGTAAAAAACTCCAAAAAGAAATGACCCTCAGTTGGTTCGGCCTGACAGACCCGCCGTTAGGAAACCCTTTCGAACCTGGTCACCTCACCCCTGCTTTCAAAGCTGGTCCTCTGTCTGCGGGTGGCAGCACATGTGTTTACCTGCCGATGAGTGCTAAGGCTGAGTCGATGGCAGAGTCTGAAGGGCACGGGGTTGATATTTTTTACGTGTAACAAGTGGTTGTGCTGAAACCTGCTGGACAGAGCCCTAGGAGAGGGAGCCCAGATGTAATTTAAAGGGCCGGCATGCTTATAAAAATTGTAATGGGGGGTAAAAAGGCGAGAACCCTGCCACAATAGGAAATTATCCTCTATTAGTTCAATAAGTTCTGCTTTTCGGTTTCTAAGCTTGAATAAAAGCCTTTGCTGTGTGTTATTAATTAATATATTTGTTTATTTATGTACATGTGAGTGTAAAGGTTGTACTGATGAAGACTATATAGTTTATATTAGTACAGTTTTCCTTTGGTATTGCTGACAGTAAGCACATACTCTTCCTCTCTCTGCACTGCAGTCTTTTCTTTCTTTGCTAACCAGCCTTTTGAAAATATTTATCTTGAACAGATCCAGAGCTGTTAGACTCTGCTTGCCAGGTTTAGGAGGTCTAATCATCTTTGTAGTACTCAGTCTAAAATTGGATATGCTTACCAGTAGAGCTAGCTCACCGTTACCACTTCTAGTTAGATACTTGGATGGTCGTCTCTCTGCATAAAAGTTTTAACTAATCCCAAATTTCCAATTTGTTTTGAATTAAGCTAAATGTGTCTGTAGTTTCTTGAGTGTTGAACGTGACCATTTTGCTCTGATCTTATTGAGGTTTGTCATCATCCCTTGTTTTTGCAGGTGACCTTCAGAGAGTGACAGATGTGTGCCACTGAGGACAACCATTTGCATCTCCCTGTGGAGATTTGAGTTCTGGGACGCTCGGGTAGGCCTATTTAAATCTTTAACTGTACATTATGTATTTTACGTCATTGTGTAGCACACATATTAATTATTTTAGCCTTTTCCTTGTATGCACTTGCTTAAAAGATGCAATAAGTTTCAATATCACAGAGATGTTGTTTATTTTAGAAATTCAATAAATCTAATAAATACTGGCAGTCAGGGTAACATTTACCTCAGCCAGTCAGTTAACTTCTACCTCTTTGGCCTAAAACGTTACAAATCATATTAGACCAATAGTCATTTAGCACAATATAACTGCTTCATATGGGTCAGTTTGAGAAACATATAGTGACAAAACTCCCCCAAATATCTCTATTGTGCATGAGACATGAATTCATTTATTTTTTCCTCACTAAATGTCACTTTTCAGTCTCCATGGCTGTTTCCTTTCATTCATGAGTTCTGCTCATGTTTTGTTTTCCTTTGTTTTTTTAAAGCATAGAGTGATATTTATACTCTGGAATTCCATTTCGATTTAATCAGTATTGCCTGCAGTCCCTCTGCAGGAGGCAGCAGACATCTTTAATCTGCGTCACATTTTCTGGGCTATATAATAAACTATCAACCATTACTACCCTGACATGTTGTGCCATAAAGTAATGGTGTGCTGGAATCTTGCAGCTTTAAAATGCTATTGATAAATACAAGACATGTTTGCTATTGCTATATTCACATCATGTTCTCAGACTGTCTCCTGTCTGTTATAGCAACTCTATTATCCTTCTCTCCACACTGACTGCAGATGTTTTACATGAGAATTTGCTACTGAGCCTCTAACCCCCTTAACATAAACACAAGCACTACACCTTCAAACTTATTCAGGTTTGATAAATAGTAGTGCATTTGTCTATATTTTCATAGTCTCCTCTAGGTATTTAGCAGTTTGTTGTTATCAGCATTTGTTCTGAGTATCTAGTGACTGAAAACAAACACTTAAAAGTTTGCCCCCTACTGTTCTCCTTTTTTAAGACATACAATTCAAACTGCAAAAGGTTAGTAGATCAACTTTGCTCACGCCATCATCTATCATCATGTCTTTACGCAGAGTAACATTGACGGTTATGTTGTAAATGTTAAGATATGTCTTATATTCAGGAGAGAATTAAGAGTTCTCCAAGAAGGATAAAGCATAAAAGGTCACTGCTAAATAACCTGGCTTATCACACATTTCTGTATACAAGTATATTATTAGAAAGTTTAGCTGATGGAAAAAGTGTGGCAGAAAAACTTACAGAAACGGGCTTAAAAGAAAGAAATATTGACCTTAGCCGTAGCTAGAGACACTCCAAAAAAACTTCCACTGTGGAAAAGTTTGTGTTTCTGCAGACTTTTGTTTTACCTCTATGTCCTGGGATAATAACACACAACTGTCTGTGTCTGCTGAGAGGTCACAGGTGACCATATCTGCCAAACTACTTTAAACTGAGGAAGCTTCTGCAAAGGCGACAGTTTAAAGGATAAACACACCAGTTAGTGACTGTAAAAGGAGATCCCATATAATATGGAAGGTATTTGGTCCTTTTCGCACAATAGAAGTTATTCAAGCAAATAAGTTTGAGTAAGAATTGATTAGAATCATTTAGACTTTGAGTCAAAGTCATGTTGAAAGTTTATAAAAAATTATTTTGATGTAAAGCTACCAGTTGGTTATAGATTGACGTTTATGTAATTGGGTTTATTCATAATTATTATGATCAAATTAAGAGACACTATGAGTTTGGGCTGTATCCATCCATCCATCCATTATCTGACACGCTTGTCCCGAGTGGGGTCGCGAGGGGGCTGGTGCCTATCTCCAGCATGCAATGGGCGAGAGGCAGGGTACACCCTGGACAGGTCGCCAGTCCATGCGCAGGGCAACACAGAGACAAACAGGACATACAACCATTCACGCACACACTCACAACTAAGGAGAATCTAGAGAAGCCAATTAACCCGAGTTTGGGCTGTATGAGGTTACAAAATATGAAGACTTTAAAATAAATAACTTTATTATAACTCAGATTTTGTCTTAGATGCCAGTTTTTTTTAAGCTAAAGGCCAACAAAACGTCTTGTAAAATGACCTTTTTACATTTTTACCTCTCTGTTTAAAATATTGGTATTTCATATTTTAGGACACCTCATTCTTTACTTTATGAGAGCGTCCTGCTGCTTTTGTATCTCTGCGTTCTTCTAAGTCTTAAACTAGTGTGATCCTTCACTGATAATTTGGTGCTAACCAGTGTTTCATGTTTGGAGTGATAATTATCGCTGCTGGCAACACTGTTGGCTCAAATTTTACTTCACACAATAGGTCAGAAAAACAACACAAAAAAACATCTGTAACTGAAGTTGGTTCAGGTCTGTCCCT